CCGCCCCCACCCCGCCCCCACCCCGCATGCCTCACCTCGAGCGCGCCGCGCAGCACGCGGGTGATGGCCGTGTCGCGCGTCGGCATGCGGGCGCCGCCCGCCTTTGCGGACGCGCGCGCGGCGAGGCACGCCTGGAGGGGGGCGTGAGGGCGAGGGCGAGGGCGAGGGTGAGGGTGAGGGTGAGGGTGAGGGCGAGGGTGAGGGTGAGGGAGAGGGCGAGGGTGAGGGTGAGGGTGAGGGTGAGGGCGAGGGTGAGGGTGAGGGAGAGGGCGAGGATGGGGGGCGGGCCGGCCAGTGCGGCGGCGCACCTTGAGCGTCATCAGCGAGCGGTTGACCTCCTGCGTCTCGCGCACCTGCGGAGGCGCGTCGAAGACTCACGGACACGCCCTCCAACAGAGTCCCACCACGGTGTCTCCGCCCACCCGCTCGGCGCTGTTCGCCGCCTGGTCACGAGCCCACTCGGAGCCCGCCAAGTCCACGAGCGAGAGGCAGCCGCCGTCTGGAGCCAGCGAGAGGCCGCCGGGCTCCGCCGCCCCCGCCCCCTCCTCCCCTTCCCCCTCGGCCGCCGCGCCCTCGTGGAGCGGCTCGAGCCGGTAGACTGCGTGCGAGCGCGAGGAGCCATCGTGCACGCTGGTCGCGGAGGTCGCGCGCAGCCGCGTCGCAGCGGCGATCGCGGCGACGGCATCCGCCGCGCTGCCAACGACGAGGGCCGCGCCGCTCGTGGTCGCCGACTGCACGCCGAGCCGAGCCGCTGCCGCGGCGGTGAGGTCGCCGGCGCCGGCAGCGGCGGCGGCGGCGGCGGCGTCGGCGCCATTGGCGGCGGAGGAGTGGCCTGGGTGGGCGGGGTGGCCCCGCGCGGGGACCACGTGCGTCGCTCCGTGCGCGTCCCGCAGCGTGCACGGGGCGCCGTCGTGCAGCAAGTCCCTCACGCTGCTGCCCGCCACCTGTTCACGCGCCGAGGTGTGAAGAGACGCCGCAGGCAGCGGCAGACACTGCCGCGCCCGCCACCTCAACGGCGCTCACGCGCCAGCCGAGCACGTCGAGCGGGAGGTCGCCGCGCAGCTCATCGAGGAGGCCGCGTGTCGTGTGCGTCTTGCCCGAGCCGGTCTGGCCAAAGCAGAGCACGGTCGCGACGCCGCCGCGCAGCACCGCACCCGCCACGAGAGGCCGGACGGCGGCGTCGTACAGCTCGGCGGTGGAGCGCCGCTCGTCAAAGACGGCGTCGGCGTAAAAGGCGTGGCTCTCCACGAAGGGCTCCGGGTGCAGGGTCGCGGACATGTCGTGGTCGAGGGCCAGGAACGGGCGCGTCACCCACAGCGCCGCCGCAGGGCCGTCGCCCCAGACGTCGTCGCCGCCGTCTGCGGTGAGGACATCAAAGTCGCGCCGAGCCTCATGCTCAAATAGTGGCCGCTTCCGAAGGACAATCCTTGGCCTCGCGTCATCAGACGCTGTGGTGTAGCGCTGCGGGAGCGCCGCCGGACGCCGCTCGAGCGCCAGCTCGGCGCGGAGTGCGGCGATGCAGGCCTCGTACGCTTCGCGGCGCTCCTGGCGTAGCGAGGAGGAGGTCTTCCCGTCCGTGTCCTCGAAGCCGCCGGAGGCAGAGTTGCCCATGGATCTCTGAACGCCTGCCACCGTTGGAATTTTTCTTTTTTTCTTGCGGACGCGTTCACGTAAACGCACAAACCGGCAGGTGTATTTTATTTTTGCTTGGGCGGGCCTCATGATGAAATTCTGCAAAAACCTGGCCGGCCCCTGCGGTGCCCCTACCTACCTACCTACCTACCTACCTTACTTAGGTAGGTCGGTAGGTAGGTAGGTGAAGAACAGCCAGGCTCGGACTGGACACCAACGCGGTATGGGTGGACGCTGGACAGATGATGACGACACGCACGAGCGACACACAGACACAAACAACCTCACAAGACACACTTATGGGAAACTAAAAAAGAAATCACTCGATGGGTGAAGGTGGGGTACTATACCAACTAGAGTGATGGTTGGTGGTACTCTCCTGCAACCACAGTCCTTCTTGTGACATGGCAGGCCACTCTCAAGCCCTACAAGCATCAGATCACCCATTTGGGGAGGGTTGACATCGTGATTTCCGCGGAAAATTTCTTTTTTTTGCTGTGAAAATTCCAGCTTGAAGAGAGGGAAAAACCCGACGGGAGGGCCCAGACCTACCCTACCTACCCCGTCATGAGGCCCGCCCAAGCAAAAATAAAATACACCTGACCCGGCCGTTCACGTAAACGCACAACCCCGGGCCCGAAATCGCACGGCCGTTCACAGCCTTGTTATGAGAAGAAAATACACTTGACAGCCTATGAGAAGAAAATACACTTGACAGCCTTGTTATCGAGAGGAAATACTTGCACGCCCTGCGAGCGGGGCGGGGTGCGCGCTGTCCCTCGGGTTCGTGCGTCACCCATCTATCTCTCCATCCAGGAGATGCCTGCTATTTATTGGAAACACGTTGCCCCTGTTGGTGCTGCAGTGAGTGAATAGAGTGCGCTGCTGTTGCACCGACCGGTACCGCAAGGCATCCCAGCAAGACCAAGTGGAGCAGGTCTTTGGCTTTGCGCTTGTCCTGTGCATGGCAAGCGCGTCTTACTTACGGTTGCGCCTCAGGACTGCCAGTTCAGTAGCAGAAACTGGAGTTTTAGAGGCAAGCTGTAGTGTTAACTCAATAAAAACTGCCAGTTAGTGACTTTTAACTAATTAACTGGTTAACTGGTTCATCCCCACCCTAGCCTTGACACAGGTACACTACGGGTGCGGCCAACCTTGAGTGGACGGGCGGCGCACGTGTGGGCGTGCAGCACAGGAGACGCGCGGCGAGAGCGTGAGCAGCAGCGACTGCGGGAAGAGAGCTGGCAGAACGCGAGCGAGACGTGGGATGCTTGGGGCCGTGTCGTGTCGAGTCGACCTACGCGCCCGCTCGCGAGCCTCGACGCGGCGCAGGAAGCCGTGACGGCTGGTGCTGCACACCGCCATCGCAGCGTGTTGAAAAGGCGCTCTTATCGCCACCGCGGTGGTGGTCGAGCGCGTCGCGCACACGATAAAACTTGCGTACGTGATGGTGGTGAGCTCGGTCGAAGGTGGTGGGCCGAAAACGCGAGTAGGTACGGCCGCGCGGGGCCACGGCGAGCTTTGCGCAGATATCGCACGCTTCGCACGCTTCGCACAAATCGCGCGCGCAACAGCCAAGCTCCCAACCACCACCCGGGACCCCCACCACCCGTGTCCCAAAGTGAGTGAGAATTCCGAGGGTACACCACGGGAGCCATAATTCTATCTCGGCAGTATCTCGCACTTACTTCATTCATTTGGGTGGGGCCTGGAGCCCTGGTGTGCAAGGCGCGCTGCGCCAGTCAGCACTCCGCCCTCCCAGCCTCGTTCCTTCCATTTTCCCGGTAATACGTAAAGCTCGCGGCGGTGTGCACCTTTAGGGCAAAGGCTACGTAGCCCAAACTCGCACGTCCTCAAGTTCTCCACAATGCTCGACGCTCTCCCGTCCCGGCTGGGCGCAATGTACCAGAGCATTCCGACCAAGGACCGCCTCTGCGAGATCGCCACCCTCGCCTATCACGACGGCGAGGCGCGCGCCAGCCTCGTCGGCTCCACCCTCCACTCGGCCGGCGCGGATCGCTTCCTCTCAGAGGCGCAGCTCTTGGCAGTCTCAGAATTGGTCCAGGACGGGGATGCGACTGCCCTGATCGCCGAGGGCAAGAAGGCGGCGGAGACTTATCTCTCCAAGGCGGCGCTGGTGGAGAAGAAGGAGGCGGTGCTCGTGGACGTCAAGGAGCTGGCGGCAGAAAAGTTTGTTGCGCCCGCCAAGGCGGCAGAGAAGTTTGTTGCGGCCCGCGCCGCTCCATACCTGACCAAGGTGGCCGACAAGAAGGCGGCACTCGTCGAGACGAAGGAGGCGATTCTCGCCGACAAGCGGCTGAGCCGCGCGCTTGAGGCGCTCGCGATGGCGCGCGACCACCCAACCGAGACGGCAGTCGCGCTAAAGGCGAGCGCGATCTCCCTCCTGCAGTACGACAAGGTGGCCGAGTATCGCGACTATGTCCAGGAGACCTTCGCCACCGATCTTGTGGCCAAGTTCGCCCCGCAGCTCTCCGGTCCCGATCTCGGCGACGCCGCCCAGCACGGCATCACTCGGGTCCGTGCTACGATGGCGGCGTTGTCGACCGAGCTCTACTCGTTCCCGCACGAACGCGTCAACGTATTGAGCTTCAAGGCACGCTCGCTCCTCTCCGAGCTCACTCTGCAAGCCTCGCAGCTTCCGAACGCCGAGTCGACGCAGGCGGCCCTCGCCTCCCTCGCCAAACTTCTCGCGCCGGAGCCGGTAGTCGAACCCGCCGCTGAGTCTGCGACTACAGCGACCGACGAGGAGCGCACTGCGGTGAGGGCGAGCCTCCGCGACCGCCCCATCGCCCGCGCGCGAGCTAAATCCCTGCGTGTCATGGCGGACTCCAAGTCGGGGCTGATCCTGTAAGCCACCCTCCCTCGGGACATTGTGCTGCGGCCCCTGTGAGCTGTGTGCCTCTCCTCCTTTGCTCTCTCTCCTGTGCGCTGTGGTCTCCGCACTCCGGTGAGTATGATGCGTTGTCCGCCCTCAGCGCTCGTGCGCTGTGCTTAAAGTTGTGATGATGATGCTGACGGATGGAAACAGTTGAAATAACACAAAAGCGTCAAAATCCTTGCACCCCGCACCTGCGGGCCGAACCCCGAACGCCACGCCGCGCTCGCGACGACAGGCGTGCGGCGCGTGCCTGCCGCCTCTCTGTCACCTGGGCTCTCACGGCGTCGTCGGAGAAGCCGGCGAGCGTGCCACCGGCTCAACCTCGTCGCCCTCCTCCACAAACATCCGCTCGGTTCCGCCGGCACGCTCCGCCGCGGCGCGCTCCAACTCGCAAAAGACGCCAAAGTTTATGCGCGCCTGTTTACAACAGGCTCACGCGTGGAGAGACCCGGGCCACAGAGGGTGAGGCATGAGTCGGCGCGTGCATGCGAGCGGCGGTAGGTGGCGAGTGTCCTCAGCACCGAGCCGTGCCGCGCCCCCGAGGCAGGGTCCACCTCCACCATGCTGCAGCGTGCGCACGGGCCGGCCACGCGCAAGCGCAGCCCGCCGACGCGGAGGGCCGTCCAGCCATCCTCTGCGCCGGAGGCGGCTGCAGAGAGGAGCGGAGCCTCTGGGCGTGTGCCGCCCGGGGAAGCGCGGGGAGCGCCAACCACGATGTTTGGGCGGAAGCTCCGGGCGCCGACTGGGCGCTCCCCCTCGCGCCTGCAGCTGGCGGGGCGCGGCGTCGAGAAGGGGGGGGGGGGGGCAAGGAGCGCGGGCGGCGAAAGGGAGCTGGGGGCTGGGGCAGGGGGGGGGGCGCTCACCGCAACGCGCTACTGAGCGTCTCGACGGACTCTTGCGACACGAGCAGCAGCGGCGCCTCGTTGGCAAAGCCAATCGAGGCGGCACCGCCCCCTGCCAACGGCGGGCCGCGCGCGCGCGAGCAGCGCACGAGCCGGCACGGCACGCCCACTGCGCGCTCGAACCACAGCGCCGCCTCTGGGCCGCCGACCGCCGCGCCGTAGCACTCCTCGCCGCACAGCGTCAGCGACTCCTCGGGGGAGCTCGAGGGGGAGCGGGCGGCGCGCGGTGCCACTCGCGAATGCACCTGCGCTTCGACAACACGTCTGAAGTAGGAGAGGGGGCGGGGGGGGGGGGGGAGGTGTTCGGGCGGGGGCCTCGCCTCGCCTGCTTCTCTTCCAGCGGCAGCGAGAGCGTGAGTGTGGCGAGGCCCGGCGCAGAGACGGTGAGCAGCCCGGCGGCGAGGTCGAGCTCCGGCCGGAGCAGGGCGAGGCGAGGGTGGGCCGTCGAGCGGAGGAGCGTGCCTGCGTGCGGGAGCAGGAGTCGGTGCGGCGCGCGGTGAGCGGCTCGGCCGCCGGCGCAGAGAGAGAGGGGCGCCGGATGGACCGGCAAGGCCCCACTCTCGGTCATAGAGCAACCGCCCTGCAGTTGGAGAGGGGGGACAGTGAGGGGCGCTTCACCGGCGAGTTCGGCGGGTGGCAGGGGAGGCGGACCCGAGAGCGGGTCGAGGGGCCACCGCCGCACGCGCATGCCACCGCACGACTTGAGAGGGTGCACGAACAGCTCGAGCACGCGGCAAGGTGCGGCCGGACGCGGGTCCGCCTCGGCGTCGGCGGCGTCGGCGGAGGACGTGCGCTCCGCCGGCACGAGCACAAACGTCTCGTGCAGGAAGGAGAGCAAGGCGTCCACGTCCTCCCAGCTCGAGTCCTTGCCGAGCGAGGCGCGCACCACGCCGGTCGGCCGGCCGCCCAAGACGTCCCGCTCGTCGCCGCACTGTTTCCCCGCGCGCACCGCGTCGAGCACGTCCGCCTGAGAGGAGATGCGCCGAGATTGTGCCGAGATTGTGCCGAGATGTGCCGGCGGCGCGGCGAGCACGGCCCGCCTCGCTCAGGCCGAGCAAGGCCTGGCACCCGCCCGGGTTGCAGCAGCAGCCCGTGCGCAGCTGGATCGGCGGCCGGTGTAGCGCCGCGAGCTTGCCGACCTCGGCGTACCCGACGACACTGCCGTCGTGCCGCACGACGTTGAAGGCGACTGTTGGTCCGCCGAGCGAAGTGCGAACGGCGCCCTCGGCCCCTCCCTCGCCGGCCCTTCCCTCGCCGGCGCCTCCCTCGCCGCCCGCCCACGCACCGTAGAGCACGACCGCGCGCCGCCCGTCGGCGTGCCGAAGGGAGCGGAGGCGGGACCGGAGCTCGGCCGCGAGTGCGCGAGTGTGCGCCGCTATGGCGGCCGGCCCGCCGACCGCCTCGAGCACCTCAAACCCTCGCGCCAGCGCCGCGACGCCCAAGTAGTGCGCTGTCCCGTCGGCTAAGGCGTCGACGGCGGCGTGCTTGGGAGGGTTGAAGAAGGTTGCAGGACCAGTCTCGCCGCCGCCGCCTCCCCGCCCACTGCCGCTACCGCTGCAAACTCCAGCTCCACCGCCGTCGCTGCCGTCGCTGCCGCCGGCGTCGCTGCCGCCGGCGTCGCTGCCGCCTCCACCGCAACCGTTCTGGTCGTCGCGAGGGGCGTGCGGCGGCGCAGCTGGCGGCGAGGAGAGCGGGTGCGGCAACGCCGCCGCCACCGAGCCTCCGCCAAAGTAGCCGTGCCGGCTGTCCTTCCGCAGGAGGCGCAGCGCGTCGCGCCGCACGAGCAGCGCGCCTAGGCGGGAGCAGGCGGAGGGAGTGGGGGAGGGGAGGGAGGGAGGGGAGGGAGGCAGAAGAGGGAGAGAGGGTGGTTCGGACACGAGGGAGCGAGCGGCGGGCGGGAGGCGTGCCCAGCCCCGTCGGAGAGCCGAACAGCTTGTAAAAGGAGACGGCGCAAAGGGCCGCTCCGCTGGCGTGCAGGTGGAGCGGACCCGTCGCCGCCGCCTTTGCGGCGTCCAGCATGAGCCACCACGTGCCTGGGGCGAGGGTCAGGGCCGCGGGTCGGGGCTAGCTGCTGCTGCGGCGTCCAGCAGGCGTCCACACACCACACACCGCCGCGACCGGTCCCAAGCTGCGCGAGCCCCGCCGAAGCCGCCCGAATGTCGGAGACGTCTCCGGTCAGGTTGCACTCAACCGGAAGCACCGCGAGATGATGCACAGCCCGCGCCTCCGCCTCCGCTCCCGCCCCCGCCGCTGCCTCCGACCCTGCCGCCGGCTCCACCTCTGCCTCTGCCGCCTCTGCCTCGGCTGCCTCTGTCGCCTGTGCCGCCAGCCGCAGCAGGTCGCCTGGCCGGTCTGCGCAGCGGCACGTTGCTCCCCGGCCGCTGGCGGGCCCTCGCATCCCGAGCACGGAGGTGTGGCACGCGGACGGCATCAGCAGTGCCGAGCGGCCGCAGAACTGGAAGTGCTCTGCCACCAGCCTCAGCGACGCCGTCGCGCCCGCCGTCCAAATCACCTCCCAGTCCGGCGCATGCGAGCCGCAGAAGTGGGCGAGCACGAGGGATCTGGCGCGGTCGAGCTCGGCGCTGGCCGCGCCCGCCGCCGGACCCGCCGAATGCGGGTTGCCGAGAGGTCGTGTCGTGCAGTCCTCTGCTACGGCTCTGAGCTGCGAGGCGAGTGGGAGCGCCGCGCCGGCGTGGTCGAGGTAGACGATGCCCTGCTCGCCATCCGCGCATCGCTGCGCCTCGGCAGGCCGAACAAGCACGGGCAGCTCACGGCTCCGCCAGCTATCAATGTGGCCGGCTGCTGAAGCCGCGTAGCCGTAGCTAGACCCGGCACGGGCGAGAAAGGCGGCCTTGCGCACCAAGCGTGGAGACGCAGCGCGTCTACGCGTCAACCTCCGGCGGCCAGCGACCACGACGATGACGACGCCGATCACTACTGCCACGGTCAACGTTTGCATATATATATCGCGCCGACGTCTCGATCTTGTGCCGATCGCCGGAGAGCTTGGTTGGTGGGGCGTGCACGAGAAAAAGATTTGCGGCGCGGGATTCAGGCCGCGGGTGCGGGCGCGATTCGCCGACCAGGGAGAGCCGGCCCGACCTCCCGTGGAGGGGTGGCGACGAGACACAATGCCGCCACTCCCGCCCGGGGAGGCCCCACCCGGGCTGTCGGCTCCCTCGGGGCCAATGGGGCTAGCCGACGGAGGTGGGGCGGAGGGACCGCCCCCGAGGAAGAGACACCAGAAACGACTGCAAAGGCAGTGGGGCGACGCCCGAAAGGCGAGCAAGAGACCGAACCAGACTGAGGATTCACCCTGAAGGGTGGGGGACGAGGCCGGGCAGTGTACACGTTAGACAGTCGTGTGTGTACGTGACGGGTGGTGTCGTAGTGTCCGTGTCCACTAGCTCCGAGTAGAGGGGGCGTTCTGCAGTTAAGGGGAAACCCGGTACACGGAGCCCCCTCGGAGAACTGTGTTTACTTTAAGGCCCTTGCCCTGCGAACGCGCACCCCCCCCTAGGGGTCAGGGCTCTCTAGCCCGTAGCCCGATCCCGATCATCCGGCCCGCTGGGTGCGCTTCTGAGCTCCCCGGCCCTGGATGTGAGGCTGCCGACTGCACTCCAAGTGCTCCAAGATTCACGGGTGGCTTCCTCGGATTCACGCCCTCCCCTTCGAAGTAGGGTACCACCCTACGATTTAGGGTGGGCTCCGGCGCCCGCCCGCATCGCCCCCAGATGGCAAGCGGAGCCTACCCACGTGGCGCGCGGGTGCCCTCGCGCCTCGGCTTACGCGTTCGTTACGGACCGAGTCGCACGTCGCACGAGGCTCACATTAAGTGAAGAGGGCTGCCGTCGTAACCGAACGGGGTCAATTTTTGTTCGCTCAGTATTGGTCCACCCCCAATAGCAGCGCGCATAGCACGCCCACGAGAGCTCTATGGCAGCGGCCCGCCAGCGGCGCGGCGCGATGGCACCAGCCCCTGCGGCCGCTCCGGCGTCCGTTCCGGTGGCCGCTCGGGCCGGCCTCGACATGGGAAGGTCCCCGCACGGGGGGTCCCGGGGGGGGCACCATGATCGTCCGGACGCGGCCCTCCGTACACGGAAACAGGGTACCGGAGGCATTCCCGAACTCAAAACAGGGTACCAAGGCCCGCAAGGGCAGATATGAGCTCAGCTCAGTGAGATCTAGCAGCACATATCCTTGGTGCCCAGAATAGTTCAGTCTGAAAAAAAGACGGTCCGACCGCGCGGAGCCGTTTGGCTGTTTGCAGAGCCCCCGCGGGCACGCCTAGGCCGCTAGCCTAGGGCGAGGAGGAGGAGGAGGAGGGGGAGGAGGAGGGGGAGGGGGAGGGGGAGGGGGAGGAAGAGGAGGAGGCGCCACCGACTGCGCCGCGGCGCGGCCTAGGGCGCGGCGATCGGCGCCACCGCCGCGAGCAATCGCCCGCACCAGCGCCAGCGCCAGCAGCAGCCGCAGCACCAGCAGCGCAGCGCCCGCCCGGCGGTCCACGCGCGCCAACTTCCCGCGTAAGTGACTTGAGGTGTCTCTTCTGGCTCCTAGTGGGCCTCTACTGTCTGGCTTGGATGAGACGATGCAGCGACGGTGTGACGGTGTCGCGGCGGGTTTCTAGCGGCGCGGCCCGCGGAGCCGCAGCCAGCACTGACAGGCCAGAGGGCCCCGGCCGCGGCCCACACTCAAAGTGACGCACGGCTCCAGATGTCTTAGGGTAGCTCTCGTGGGCATTCAGTGTTGCCTGTGTGGTCAGGGGACCCCCCACGGGGCTTCTGTGTGGCTTTGGAAGACTCCCCTAAATCTACTCTCAGGCCCTAACATCTAGGGGGGCAGTCTTGCCGTGAAGCCGTCATGCCGTCGTCCCATCCCTCCCTTGGGTTGTCTGTTTTCTTTCTTTCTTTCTTCTCGTAGGTGAGCTGTGAGCTGTGAGGGTCGGCCCGGGCAGATTCTGTCCCACTCCCTTTGTTCTCTTCTCATAAAATCGGAGGGTCGGCCCACGGGGGGACTTTGTGAACTGAAGCGACCCAACGATTTCATGAGTGGCAGCAAAGGCAGTGATTCTACCCAGCCCTAGCGTGGGATGCCAATTCCCTCCTTCTTTTTCTTGTTACTTGTAGGTGCTCGGGCGCACTCGTCATTGTGGTCGTTCAGGGCGGCTCGCACAGCGCCCGCACACGCACGCACGCACCACCATCGCACCACCGACACACACACACACACACACACACACACACACACACACACACACACACACATGCACACACACACACACACATGCACACACACACACATGCACACACACACATGCACACACACACACACACACACACACACACACACACACACACACACACACACACACACACACACACACACACATGCACACACACACACACATGCACACACACACACACATGCACACACACACACACACACACACACACACACACACACACATCCCCTTCCCCGCCCCCCTCACGACCGCAAGGGCGAGGACACGCGCACAGGCCGCACCTCTAGCGAAGCCCACAGAGTGGGAGACACCTATCCTGCCACCGCCCCTGCATCGGCAGCCTCTGTCAGTGTGCCCGTGGTAGTGAGAGACTGCCAGCGAGAAGCCGGAGGAAGGTCACTAGAGACTAGTCGAGAGAGATCGCCAGTGGAATAGGGAGTCCACCGTGCTGCGACTGTCGCTGCCCTTTTGTCAGTAGCAGGAGAAGCAACTAGGAGAGCGCAACCAGACGGAGGCCCGCGCCTGCCCCCGTGCCGCCGGGTGCAACCTGTCCTGTATATGAGAGGGGAATCCCTGGGACCCTGTCGTGTGGGTGAACCCTGCTCAGCCCCCCTCCGTGTCGCGATGCGCTCCCCGCTCCCGTTCCCCTGTGTCCCTGATCGTCCTTCCAAGACCCTGCTCGTGCAGGTGGGGACAAACATTATGACCCCCCCCCCAATGAACACACCAGTGAGGGAGGGCGAGACGACGATCGAGGGGTCCCGTACCATGCGGAATCGACCCTATCCAGTGCTCAAGTGCTCAAGGTGGGGGGACCCTGTTCTTCTTTCTCCCACCCACCCCTCCCTCGTTGCACGTTGGGCGTGTCCCTTTTATTATTTATTTATTTAGCTTTTCTTGTCATACCGAAAAGAAAGTGCCTAACCCCGAGAAACCCTTCGGAGTCGCTCCTCATCGCAAACCCTGTCAGCAGTCCTCCTTCGGGAATGTTCGCAAGAGAGCTACATGTATATATGCACACTGTCTGTTTTAGGTTTGTTGTTGTGAGAGAAGAACGGGTTGCGTGATTGTCTCTGTGCAATTTCGGGCCCGGGGTTGTGCGTTTATGTGAGAGAAGAATCTGTGCGGGGGGAATTGGCATGAACTCGAATGATGAATAGACCCGCCCCCCCGGACGTACGATCGTCGGCGGAAATCTACCAGTGCATGCTCCGCGTTCTGCCGAGGCGGACAGTCGGATTTCCTTTCAGACGCACGGCGCGCTTCCTCTCCGACATGACAAAGCCCAGACTGACGTACTTTGGCGACATCGGCGGAAGAGGGGAGCCGATTCGCTTCGTGCTCAAGCTCGCGAACGTGGACTTTGAGGACGACTTGTTTGGTGCTAAGAGTGAGGTGTACGCGAGCCGCAAGGCGAAGGGCGATTTTAACAGCAATCCAACAAAACTGAAGGGTACCGGAGGAGGCCTGCCCGTCTATGTCGAGGATGGCACACTATACTATGAGAGCAACGCAATCTTGCGGATGCTCGGCATGAAGCACGGCTTCTACTCGACTGATCCGGCGACGGCGTGGGAGATTGACGTCTGTATGGAGAAGGTGGAGCAGGTGTGGAAGCACGCCGGTTTCACCCCGATGACCCTCTACCTCGTCGCTAGAACAACGGCGAAAGTCGACTCGCTCGCGGACTCAGACGGCGAGGCCACGGCGAATCTCGTGGCGATGTACACAGAGCTAGCCGAATGGGGAGAGGCGCAGCTGAAGAAGCACGGCAAGCCCTTCCTCGCTGGCACGGACAGCCCCACCATCGCGGACTTCCGCTACATCGTCCAGTTCTCCGACTCCATCTTCAACGAGGGGTCTGCAATCGACGCTAAGATGAGGGATAAGATCAAGGCGATGATGGACGACAAGACGCCGGACTTCAAGAAATGGGTGGAGGACACCATGCTACCACTGCTGAAGGATGTGCGCACGCCTGGGATCCTGTGGTGATTTCTCGTCGCACCGACATCCTTGATCTTTGTGGTGGATGTTTGAATGCATCGCATGCTCATCAACATCAACGATCAAGCGACGGGTCCTGCGTTACCTGTCGCTTTTTCGCAGTCGCTTCGGCCGCACTCACTCTCGGATGCCGGCATGCTATTCCTTAGTCGAGCTTGTCGAAATTTATCATATCGCCAACAGCCACACGGCATTTACGTGCAACGTGGAACGTGCATGCGCGCACGTCGGTCGTCGGAGTCGTGTTAACGTGTAGAGAGAGAGAGAGTTTTTAGGAGCCGACAAGAAATCTAGCACTCACAGTGACTTCGGCTCGGCAGCTTGTCAACTACGAAGACGGAGTCGGAACCGTAGCCGAGAAAGTCGTCGAGCACTTTCGCACGTGTACGTAGTATACGAGCTCGAGCACTCAAAAAATTCGCGAGAAATTCCCGTGGCACATGCCATGCATGTTAGAGGATCGTGTACACACGAAAAAGAATTTTCCACGAAAAAGAAAATTCCGATTTTGCCGCCGCCCGGGGGACCCGTAGATCCCCGTAGCTTCGGTGGAAAGGAGCCTATATAGCGCCCGTCACGGCCCAAAGCTGCACCCATGAAGGAGGGAGCCGCATCTCCGCCGATTGCAGTCGCAGCCGCCGTCGGCCAGGACGCGGCGCTGGCCGGGGGAATCGCTCTGGAGCAGCAGCGGAGTACCAAGTCGAAGCGGGCAGCTCGAGTGTTTGACCTCATCGTTGGAGTCTCACTCGCGGCAGCGGCTGGACACAGCATCGCCGCAGAAACCAACACGTTGCTCGAAAGCACCACCTTTCTCCTTCTCTCCCTCACCGGTGTCGTCCTCTTCCTCGCCGCCTGCGGTCTCTCGTCCATCCGCTCCCGTGCAGAGTTTCTTGACCACAAGGCGGGAAGGGCGGGCCTCTCCTTCGTAGCCGCGCTCCTGTGCGCCGCAGCCGCGCCGCAGCAGATACCCGTCTGCACGTCCTACGGCTACGTGGGCAGCGCTGTCGTAACCAACGTTCGATGGCCGATGATTGCCCTCGCAACTGCTCTGCTGGCCAACGGCTTGTACAATGCCAGAGTCTCAGCTCGCGCGAGCGAACTGAAAAAGCTGGCGCAGCAGACGAGGGGCAGCCAGAGCGGTCCGGCAAAAGGTGTCCCGCTAGTGTAGCGCACGCATTTAACGTATACAAAAAAACACATCATCGCGCGGGGAGTCCGCGCCTGTGTCCGCGCGGCGGTACCGCGGCGGACAGACACTGACACAGACTCCCACAGGGCTCCCGCCACCTGCCACCGCTCGATCCTCGTCGCAAAACACCGTGCAAAACACGTCCTCTCGCGTCCACGATGCACGAAATACGACACCCAAGAGGAACGGCCGGGACCGAATCCCTGGTGCCCGGTGGCGCGTCCCGTCGCGAGCCGTCGAGCCGTCGAGGGTCAGAGCGCTCGAGCCGGCGCTCTCACTTCTCGCCGCAGACACGCCCCACCCAAGCGCACACCGCCTCTGCCAGCGGCCGCTCGCTCAGCGCGCGCTGCGTGGGCAGGTGCTCCAGCGTCCGCTCCCCGTCCATGTACCAGCCGGCCTCGCCCTCTCCTCCGGGCCCACCGCCCTCTGGCGGCTGCAGCCCCGCGGCGCAGGCGGCGACCGCCCCCTCCGCGGGCGAGCGGAGCAGCAGCCAGCGAAGCGGCTTGGTGAGCGGCCAGAGCTGGGGCCGGACGGAGTGGCGGCCCAGCTGCGTGTCGACCATGCCCGGCGTGGTGGCGGCGAGCCGCGTGCCGCGCTCGGAGAGTGGCCCGGCGCGGAGAGCGACCCACAGCATCAGCGCGCGCTTGCTGTCGGCGTAGCTCGACTTGCGGGCGGCCGGGTCCGCGGCGGCGGCGGCGGCGAGCATGTCGGCGTCGAGGCGCGAGCGCGCCTCGAGCCGGGACGACACGTTGACCACGCGCACCTGCCGGGCCGAGAGAGGTTGAAAGAGACGCGTAGCGAGAGGTGTGGTCAACGTCTCGCTTGAGGTGTGGATTCTTAACCCTAGTAGGCGGATAGAGGAGGCTGAGAGAGATCGAGGCGTGTGGCGAGAGAGGAGGCTGATATAAGAGACGTGTGGCGAGAGCGGGCCCGCAGTGGAGGGCGAGGCGTGGATGCGCAACAACCACCTCGCGCAGCCGCGTGTTTGCGGCGACCGTCTCTGCGATCACGGCCGGAGCGAGGAAGTTTGTCGCCCACGTGGCGTCACAGCCGTCGGCCGACGCATCCTCGGGCGCCCGCATCACGCCGGCGTTATTGAGCAGCAGCCTCAAGCCGTCGGCGCCTCCGTCGAGAAACGCGCTCGCCTCGCCCGCGAACCGCTTCACCGACCCGAGGTCCAGGCAGTCAAGCGGCGCGAGCCTGGCCTGCCCACCCCGCCGAGTGATGCCCTCCACCACCCGCTGCCCACGCTCAGCGTTCCGGCAGCCGAGGAGGAGCGAGACGGAGGAGTGCTGCGAGAAGGCTCGCGTCAGCTCCTCCCCAACGCCGCTCGTGGCGCCGGTGATGACGATGCGAGCCTCGCCCGCCGACGTGGCGGCGGCGATGAGTTCAGAGAGGCGGCGGCTGGCCGCCCTCGCGCGGTTCATGCGCTGCACTGCCATGTAGAGGACTCCGCCTGCGATCCCGGCGCCAAGCGTGCACGCGGTCATCGCACCGAGGCTGCCCAGCGTGCTGCCGACGCTGTCACTTTGGTTGGAGGAGGTCATCGTGGTAGGACAGGGTCGCTGTCCGTCTCACTTGGGTTGGGTCGCTGTCCGTTGGGCCTGCCGCCGGCCGCTCAATTTATTTATCTTCGGGCTAGTTGGGGGGGCAAACCCTGCCCGGCCCCTAGGACCCAGGTAAGGCCCAGGTGTGGCCTAGGGCATCAGAAGGGACCAAGAGGAGTCCAGTCTGAGCCACAGAGCCCATGTCTTTGCCCCCGAAGGTCGCGTTCAAACGCCCGGAACGGACGTCACAGTGGTGTCCGGCCGGCGCGATCACCGAGCTGTGACGCTCAGGGAAGCCGGTTGAGGTACTGGTTTCTTTGCCCAGGGCTGGCCTACGGCCCGTGCTGGATCAGCTGAGCAAGGTTTGGGGAGAATCCCCCGGCCAGATCTCGTTCAGATATTTGGACGGATGACCGAAATCACCCCGTTTTTGCCCGTTTTTGCCCGTTCCGGATCCGGTGTCCCGCCCGTCGTGTCTCTCGTGTGAGTCTTCTGGCAACTTCTGCGATGTGAACATGTGATGCGGAGCGTATTGCTTATAACCGCGGCATCACATCACCGCCATTGAGATGGCTGAGATGAGGTGCCGGCTCCTGATAACCTCAGCGCACAGTGTGCATGGGGGATACATATCACACATACATCAGGAGCGCGATCACACGCTAGTCGCTACCACCCCATCGAGACCTAGTCCGCCAGCAACAGCTCTGCCAGCCGCCGCCGCTGCTCGTTGCGGGCCGCAGCACTTGCGCGCCCGAGGTGAGCCTTGGCGATGGAGCAGCGCCACGGCTCCGCCAAGCTCAAGTGGTACTCGCTCCCCTGCCCGTGCGCGGGCAGCGGCCTCTTCAGCTGCACACGCAGCGACGCGGAGGTTGGCTCTGGCCGGGTGACGCTCACCGCACTCAGCGGCAGCGCCAAGACGACGCTGGCCTGCTTGGCGCCGGCCGACGCCTCCGCTCCAGCGGCGGTGGCCACGGCGGGGGCAGCGGCGGACGCGGCAGCGGCGGCGGCGGCGGCCGCGGAGCTGGTTGCGGGGGCCGCCGAGGCGGCTGCGGCGGCAGGCGGCGGCGGAGGAGCCGAGAGCGGGTGGGCAGACGCAGGCAGGGGCGGCGGCGGCGCCGTCGGCGGCGGCGGCGGCGGCAGCTCTCCGAGCGGCGCGAGCGTGACGAGCAGCAGGTGGCTGCGGCGCACAAAGTCGTGGCCGGCCGGCAGCGGCGGCTCCGTCGGGTCGAAGAGCGGCAAGACGAGCCGGCACTTGAGCGGCGCGTCGCGGGCGATGCCGGCGGCGGCGGTGCGGAGCTCGCACGGGAGCAGCTGCGCGGTCTTGTCGAGGTGGAGCCGCGCGCCTCGCCGGAGGTCCGGCAACGGCGGCGGCGCGAGCGACGCGAGGCCGTCGGGCGCGTGCAGCAGCGACGCGCGCAGCTGCCGCAGCAGCATGAAGGTTGGCACGGCGGCGCACGCAGCCTCGCACGCTGTTCGCGGCGGCCGCTTGTGCGGCGGCACGCCGCGCAGCGCGCCGCCCTCGAGCAGGAGCGACGGGTCGGCGAGCAGCGACGTCAGCTGGGCGGCGGGCGGCGGCCGAGCCTTGCGCAGCTCGGCGTCGAGCGTGCCGCCCGCCTCGGCGCCATACCCGCCGCCGAGCGCCTCGGTGATGGCCGCTGCGGCGGCGGCGTGCGCGTCGTCGAGGAGCTTGGCGTGGCGCGGCGAGAGCGGCGCCGCCTCGCCGGTGCCCCCGAGCAGCTCGAGCAGCACCTGCGGCGGAGGCAGGGCGGGACCGTCAGACGACAGGCACGTCTCATTCGGGAGGAGGAGGGTCGGGAGGAGGGTCGGGAGGAGGGTCTGGAGGAGGAGGGTCGGGAGGAGGGTCGGGAGGAGGGTCGGGAGGAGGAGGGTCGGGAGGAGGAGGGTCGGGAAGCGCCGCACCTCGAAGCAGAGCTCGGCCGTCGCGCGGCGCCCCGTCTGTGTCGGCGCCGCCTCCGCCCCGGACTCGCCCGCCGAAGACCGTCGGCCGGGGACTGCTGGCGACGCTGGCGGTGGCGCGGCGGGCAGGGCGGCGGCGCGGGCAAGAGCGCCGAGGAGACCGCCCACCGCCGCATCGCAATACTCGCCGCCGCCGCCGCCGGCCGCCCCGCCGTCCGCCGCGCTCCCCACAGAGCCAGCCGACCAGCGGGGGAGGAGCTGGGCGAGATCGGAGGAGGAGGCCTGGTCTGCGGGCGTGCGCGTCGGCCGCGGCGACGGCTCGCGCGAGAAGTTCGCGCCGGTGGAGGCGCGTGAGGTGAGGAGCTTCTCGAGCAGGCAGGCGGAGCGGAGCTCGCGCAGCGGCAGGACGCGCGCCTGGGGGAGGGGGGGGGGGGGGGGGGACCCCCCCGGTGGGCGGGGGAACACCCGAAAAAAGCGGCCGCCAGGGAAGGGAGGGGAGGCAGTGGCGTCATGCGAGGAAGGAGCCCACATCGACGAGGAGAAGCCCCGCCGTCCAGGAACCTGGCAAGCAACAGAGAGACAGGCACATCGGGGATCATATGGAGTCGACCTAACCGAGGG